TTTAGAAAACGCTTTTAGCATGTTCATTATTTGTAGTAAATAACGCAAACACAAGGGTTCGTGTAAACGGATAACTAGGTACGTATCTTGTAGTAACAACTTAATATTTAAAGCCAAGTCTCAAAAGCACATTGCAAATCGCTAAAAAATGTATGTTATATCATCGGGAATATGTTGCGTTATATCCCCATTCTTCAAGACGGTGATTGCATTTGAGCTGCTAAATTAAGTACTTTGTGAGACCACAACTTCTGTAAAGGCGATCAATCAACACATAAGATAAAACAGTGGTCTCAAATTACCCCTACAATTAGGAAAGGCAAGAAAAGGACGCTAAGATCGAAGTGTTCTTGAGATATACATACTTTGAATTATAGAGCTCTTACCAAAGAAAGAACGCGACTCACGAGAGATACTGAGCTCCATTGCAAACTCTCTACCTTTTCAAGCAGCATATCGTTTATTTTTATACTCTCGTAACAAAGTTGCTAAAGAGAGTATTATAGTTTTGTTCACGTAACGGTTGTTTGTAAGTCCTAAAACTAAAAGAGTCAGATATAGGGTTATATATACCAAAGTGATCAGGGTGACGAGTAGAGTTGAAATCCGGATGTCTGTCTGTCTGTCTGTCCGTCCGTCCGTGCAAGCTGTAACTTGAGGAAAAATTGAGATATCATGATGAAACTTGGTACACGTATTTCTTGGCTCCTTAAGAAGGTTAAGATGGAAGATGGGCAAATTCGGCCCACTGCCACCTATAAAGTGTCATAACTAAGCCATAAATAAAGATATTAAAATGAAACTTGGCACACAGGATCGCACTAGGGCGGGGCATATTTGAACGTAATTTTTTTTTAAGTGGGCGTGGCCCCGCCCCCTATTAACTTTTTTGTACATATCTCGGAAATTGCTACAGCTATGTCAACCAAGCTCTATAGAGTCGTTTCCTTCAGGCATTTTCGTATACAGCTCAAAAATGGAAGAAATCGGATAATAACCACGCCCACCTCCCATACAAAGGTTATGTTGAAAATCACTAAAAGTTGTTTACCGACTAACGAAAAACGTCAAAAACACTAAATTTTACGGAAGAAATGGCAGAAGGAAGCTGCACCCAGGCTTTTTTTAAAAATTGAAAATGGGCGTGTCGATCCCACTTATGGATCAAAAACCATATCTCAGGAACGACTTGACCGATTTCAATGAAATTCGGTATATAATATTTTCTTAACACTCTGACGACATGTACCAACTATGGGTGAAATCGGTTCACAACCACGCCTGAAATCTCGATTATCACTTTATCATGCGAGGTATAAAATGTTCGGTGACACCCGAACTTAGCCCTTCCTTACTTRTTTTTAATATTTTCATATTGATGAATGAGCCATGTCTTCTCGACCGTCTTTAAAGGCTTTGCACCACTCGTAAGTTTGTATTTTTGATAAAACAATATTATAATGAGTGGTGTATTTTTGGGCCTATTTCTCTCTTGGGCCGAAGGTCCTGGCAGCCAGTGCTCCCTTTTTCGTGGAAAAGTAATTGTATTATTGTTTCACGTTTTCATAAATAAATAAGTATTATTGTTTCTCTCATTTTTCAACTCAACTATATTATAAGCAAATATATATGTACATATTAACGCAATTTTATGCAATTTTGGCTTTTTAACATATCATTAACAGAAATTAAGAGAATTTGAGTTTCATTGAAGTACTTCATTTTTTGTTCAATACATAAGATTTAAGTCAAGCGGATTTTTGAAAAAGCAATTTTAAGCACTATTATATGTATACAAAAAATTTTATCCATTTTTATCCTTTTAAGGTCCAAGAATAAAATGTCATTATAAAGAGATTATCTCTCATTTTAATTAGCTAATTGAAAGTTCTATTATTTTATATTAGATATAACGAAAATATGTTATATTTATTATTTAATGTATTAAGGTTCTTTTATTTGGTGTATAGAGACTAGAACAAATTCTACATTGTTATGTTCAATGACACCTTTCTGTATTATACAGCTGTCGACAGCTAATTAGAAACGCTCCCTTTTTAAAAATTACTGATGAGAAAATAATGATTAAATGTTTTGATATACCGTTATTTATATTCCTAAACGCCTTTCGTTGTTTGTGTGACTGTATGTACTACTAAATTAGCTCAGTTTTGTAGTAGTGCAGTTGAAGTTCTGTTAATTTTTCCCAAATATTAAATGCGTTACGATGTAGAAGGTGAAGTAAGTGCTACAGCTAATCAGAAAAAGTTGTTTAAAGAATTAAACCTTCTGGTGCTAAGTTTTAGTAAAAATATTATCTATTTTTGGTCAGGATGTGTTTTAAAGTTGTGCTTATATATATAGAATAAGGACTACGAATTGAGAGCATGCACCTGGAATGTCCGGTCCCTTAATTGAGAAGGGGCCGCTGATTTCGTCGTGAAAAAAGTTTGATGTGGGATTCATTGTGGGAGAGAGACTCCGTCGCTGAGTACTATCATTCACTCCGGTGAATGAACGTCTAGCCCAAATCTGTATCAAAGCGAGGTTCTTCAACATATCGCTGATTTGCGCCCACGCCCCGACGGATGAGAGGGACGATGTGAACAAAGATGCCTTTTATGAGTCCTTGAATCACACTTATGAGAGCTGATCCCGCTGCGACGCCAAGGAGGGAAAAAAAGATATCTTTGGCACCACGGTCGGWAAATTCAGCCTCCACGAGGAAACATCCCCAAATGGGTTGAGGCTGATCGACTTCGCCGGGACCCGAAATATGGATATCTGTAGTACAAGATTCAAGCATAAGAAGATACTTCAAGCTACCCGGCTGTCTCCGGATCGAAAAACCACCAACCAGATCGATCATGTTGTGATARATGGAAGACACGTCTCCAGTGTTTTATATGYGCGTGCGCTCCGAGGTTCTAACATCGACTCGGAGCACTATCATGTTGCAGCCAAGATTCGCACCCGCCTCTGTGCARCAAAAAACGCACGACAAAAAACAGAAAARRGGTTCGACGTCGAGAAGCTGCAATCACAASAGACAGCTGAAAGATTTTCTACTCGGCTGGCACTCCTGCTCTCTGAGAGCACTCGTCAACAACTCGGTATAAGGGAACTGAGTAACGTCATTTCAAACTCCTTACGTACAGCTGCAACCGAAACCATTGGTTRTCGAAAGGTGCAAAGGAACAGCYGGTACGACGAGGAGTGCCGTGTTGCCGCGGAGAGAAAACAGACTGTCTACCTCCCAACGTTACGATCGAACACAACACGTGAGGGATGGGATAGATACCGAGAGTTGAAGAGGGAAGGGAGACGCATTTGCAGGCAGAAAAAGAAAGAGACCGAAATGCGTGAGTACGAAGAGTTTGATAAGTTGGCCGACAGGGGTAATGCTCGAAAATTCTCCGAAAAARTGCGGCGGCTTACAGWAGGTTTCAAGACCGGAGCATACTTTTGTAGAACCCCYAAAGTTGATCTAGTCACCGATGCCCAGATCATACTTAAATTAWAGAGGGAACACTTMTGCAGCTGAATGGCAGTGACGCACAACGCTAGGAGAAGGCGAACCCGATTCCCCAAWCGATGGCGATGAAGCAGACGTTCCATTGCCCAAYCATGAAGAAGTTCGAATAGCAATTACCCGCCTGAAGAAAAAGAAAGCGGCGGGGACCGATGGATTGCCGGCCGAGCTATTCAACCACGGTGGCGAAGAACTGATAARGRGCATGCATAAGCTTCTTTGTAAAATATGGTCGGACGAAAGCATGGCCAACGATTGGAATTTAAGTGAGCTATGCAGAATCCTCAAAAAAGGAGACCCACAGTCTGCGCCAAMTACCGTGGGATAAGACTCCTCAACATTGCATATAASGTTTTATSGAGCGTATTTTGTGAAAGATTAAAGCCCACCGTCAACATCAACAACCGACCAGMACCAAATCTTGGAAAAGACCCGTGAAAGAAGAWTCGAAACTCACCACCTCTTCGTCGATTTCAAAGCTGCTTTCGACAGCACGAAAAGTAGCTGTCTTTATGCCGCGATGTCGGAATTTGGTATCCCCGCAAAACTAATACGGCTGTRTAAGCTGACGTTGAGCAATACCAAAAACTCTGTCAGAATCGGCAAGGACCTCTCCGAGCCGTTCGATACCAATCGAGGTTTCAGACAAGGCGATTCCTTAACATGCGATTTCTTCAACCTGCTTCTGGAGAAAATAGTCGAGATGCAGAAATAAATAGAGAAGGTACCACCTTCTATAAAAATGTACAGTTGCTGGCGTATGCCBATGATATTGATATCACTGGCATCAACACCCGCGCCGTTAGTTCCGCTTTCTCCAGACTGGACCTATCTTGGAACCAGCGTAAACACTACTAAAAATGTCAGCCTGGAAATCCAACGCAGGGATAAATATTGCCAACAGGCGCTACTTCGGACTGAGTAGATAGTTGAGAAGCAAAGTCCTCTCTTAACAAACAAAAATCAAGCTCTATTAGTCTCTCATAATTCCCGTCCTACTATATGGTGCAGAGGCTTGGACGATGTCAACAACTGATGAGTCGGTATTGTGAGTTTTCGAGAGAAAAGTTCTGCGAAAGATTTACGATTGGCTAAGGCGAATATCGCATTCGGTGGAACGGTATGAGATATGTGACGACATTGAAATAATTCAGCGAATGAAAAGGCAGCGGCTGTGCCGGGCGCCACGTAGCGAAAGGAAGAAACGAGTGGCGCGATGTTGTTAACTCGGTTATAATCGCGTAAGCGGTGTCTACGCCAATTAAGAAGAAGAAGAATTCAAATGTTTTAGTTTGGAAAAGCAGCAACTGTACATCTGCCCTTTGCAGCTATGTTACATAATGGTTAAAGGTTTTTGTATACCGTTATTTATATTCTTAAAATTGTTGTATTGTTTGCGTTAATCTTTTCAATTCTATTCAATTTAATAATTCGCTGGGTGTTGTTCTTAAATTTTCCCAAATAGTAAATGCTTTACGATATAGAAGGTGAGTTATGTGCAACAGCTAATTAGAAACAATTAAGGACGTGTTTCAAAGTTGTGGTATAAAATATATTAAAATGTATTATTCAAGTTTTTTAATGAGAAAAAGCTGCAGATGTACACCTGCCCTACTTGGTTACATTTTTCACCATCGTCGGTCTGAAAGACATGCAAAGAAATTTTGAATCAGGTCAAGAAAATTCTTTTCAATGCCCTTAAGCATATASAGAATTTAAAAATTATTTCCAATGTTACACGCAAAGGAAAATATTAAAAACTTCGTCAGAAATAAACCACTGAGTTACTACCATCCCCGGAGAGACCTAAAAAAGAATTCCACTGATATTCTTTTCTTTTTATTTAAGGCTATATTGTATAAAAACGGTCCAAAAGTGTTTTCCCTTATTCCCTCAAAAAGCAATGCTTAATTAGCACACGAAATTTGTTATGATCCATTTTTTTGCAAACTAACACAAGTTTCTTTACAAAAATTCTATGTTTTTTTAATACCTAATATAAATCATATAAATGGTACTTTCCTTGGAATTAAAAATAAAAGCAAAATTTCTCGTAAATGTCGAGAATTCGGCTCAAAAAGTGACATTTTCAGTTGAGAATAAGTTTGCGATGCAAACAGATCTCTACTAATATTTTGTTTGGTTAATGTGTTGAACCCTAGAGACCTCTATTGGAAAACGTTGTAGACCTAATATGATAATATRAATGATGTTCAAAGGTGTGTTCGCCGACCAGTCTATCAAAAATTTGATCCTMGCCATGTGTCACKCGTATTRAAGCATGGTGGAGGATCAATCATGGTGTGGGARTTTTATMYCTGAAATGGTGTAGATCCGCTCSAAACGATTGATGTAATTTAAAAAAAGGAGAAATACGTCGACATTCTAAAAAATTTTATTCTGCCATGGACTAAGAAGGAATTTGCCGTTATATGGAAATTCCAACAAAATAACAACTCAAAGCATACGGGAAAGTTGACGCAAAAGTTGAAAATTGTGGAATGAAGAGAACACATTTCTGTTGATGTCAAAAGCAGATGTAGGTTCCAAAAATATCAAAAATATGTAAACCTTTTGTAATGAAATTAGGACGGCATGGTTTAATTGTGGGCAAGTCAATTCGCAATCGATATGAAGCAGTATTAAAGCAAATGGGTTGAGTAATAAAATGCTAACTGAAAGTAAACATTTTTTTATTAACAGTATTTTTGGGCTTATAAAATATGTTTGCTTCTAATTAGTTGTCGCACTCAAATCGTTGATTCCACATGTTTTTGTTAAAATCTTCAAAMCAAAAACGAGTTTGAAACAAAATTTTCAGTATTAGAGTTTAAGTTTAACATAKRTTYCAATAAMATAAGTGAAAATACAATAAATACACGTGATTTATTGGAAAATARGTGTMATTTCTAATTAGCTGTCAACAGCTGCATATGGTATTATGAAACAAAACTGACAACAATTAATATGACGTTCTATGAGTAACAGGCATGGTTTTTTCGAGTGGGACCTTAATTGAACTGTAGCCACTTAAGTATGTTTAGATCCGAGCATTGTTCACATCAGTGAAAATAAAATAAAAAGGCGCTGAGCTATTTTGTTACCCCATTTTTTCACCTGATCCACATGTATGGTTGATGATAATTGGATTTGATAACCTAATATTTTTCGAAGAGTAAATTTTGTTGTCGTGACATTGTTGCATTGTCATCATCCGCAGACGGATATCCAGAAATCGAYTATCTTCATTATTTATAGACATTACAAATAATCGGGAAGTATATTGGTAAAAATTTAGTCTCTCAACCATTTCTTTAAACTTCTTTATAATCTTTCTAAACTTTGCATGCTCTTATGAACGCATACGATTATATTACAGATAACAGTTGCAATAGTTAATCGCTATTCTTCTGTGCCACCACCACTAAGTCCTACGTTGTTCCTACTGATGCTGCAGAATCAGATTGTTGCTTTTGTGCTGCTTTTAGAGAGGACGAAAGGATAAACTTTCGAGCGCACGCTAATGCACGCAAATGACACATCGGCTGTCACATAACTTACACTGCTTGTACAGTTCAAATAAACAACGTGTCTTAGATGTACACTACACACTCGCATATGATTTTACGTCGCACTGTCTTCTGGTGAAATATGCCACACTGGCGGGCATAATTTGTTTTGCCAGCGAAAGGTGCGCACCGGCATAAGTTTATCTTTTGATGTCATACGTTCGCACACGCATACAGCAACAACAACATACATAAATTCACACATACACTCATCGGCTCACGCAATTACGAAGTTGACGCAGTACATGCAAGCACTTATTTGCATTCAAGTTCATGCGTGTGTGTGTGTTTGTGTTGGCTTATCCATACAACCTGTGCACTGAATTCACCTTCTAATGCGCCACTCTTCTATGTAATTTTGCCTTGCTGGGCAAACGCTTTGCAATTCTATACTTTTATTTTTGTGCTGCAGTGACTGCTGCCATGTAAGCTTCGGTGGCGTTGATAGAGTTGTAGGCATACTTCATTCATCTCAGCTTGGCTGTGGCACACTGGCAAGGCTCTGCTAGAATTAATGATATTTCATCCGGGCTTAAATGTCCATTGTTTGCGCAGCCGCCTCGTTTACCACCACTACTACTAATGACCTTTTGTTATTGCACTCTGGCTGACAGTCAATACAGCATTAAAGATGTTTGTGTACATGGGTGCGTATCTCAMCAAGCGCGTTTGCAAGTGTGTGTTTGCGACGGATGTGCGCTTAGACTTCGTCGCAGTTTTGTAGTTTCTGCAACCTTTCCATTTGGCCTTCTTTTTTTGAAGCTTGCAAGTCCGGCGCTCGTGTCTAGAGGTGTGRCGCCTTATTTGCTTTGTCTAAGCATTGTCACAATCTTGCTGAATTATGCATCTGGGTGCCTACTTTGTAGATGTGTCGTCGCTTATAGTATGTTGGCGTAAATAAAAGCCGACACCCCTGTTTCCTTTATTCTGGTTAGTTGAAATATGCGCTAAGCTTTCAAAGAAAGCTTGAAAATGTGGTAAACTGCACTCATGAATATGCAACTCTGCGTAGCTTGAAAGCTTTGTTTGTGACTACAAATACCATATAATTTTTGTAAATGAGTAAAGGTGCCATAAAATTTCTGGTGTTTCTAGTGAACGTAAGTCGTTTCCTGGTGTCTTCCCAGTTTCAATGTCTAATTATATGCATACGAGTTGATGTGGTATCACAGAGTGTTCATCGCACCGTCGTTTAWGTCTCTAGTATAAAATGATCTAATTGTGGGCAATATTTGAATTCTAGATTTAATCTGTCGGTGTTTGTTAAAGGAATCTCCTAAGATTATAACCATACCAAATTATAAATTACGACTTTGAATTTTATCGAAGAAGAAAATGCTTATAGACCCACCAYAAACTGGAGCAGCAGTTCGCAGCCTATTTCGTTATATTGATTCAAAAAACATCACTTTCTTATCCAAATGRCTCCTCGGTATCTGATAGCAAATATTGCATCTTCAGTTGTCTACCAATACGAGAGCGTAATTTGTTGTTATGTTGTCTTCGGTAGTAGCCGCTTTTAAATCATCTGAATGTGGCTCATTAAATAATAAAATATATATTTCATTACACTTACTTCTTTAATTACAAAACTAATGTAAGGAATGTAATCTTCTTAACAATATCTTRGTTACAATTAATATTTTATTATTTTTCTTTCTTCCAGACATATCCAACTCGCTCACGATGACGGAAGTGAAAATACCCAATCATATAATGCGTTTCAAAAGCGCGGTACTCGGCTGCCGCTACARTTTGGACGGCGAGTCATTGTACTCGGTGAAATGGTACAAGGATGGGCATGAGTTTTACCGTTATGTGCCGCGCGATAAACCGCCAGGACAAGCATTTCCATTGCCTGGTGTCAATGTGGATGTAAGTACTCACTCACTTGAAGGATATTGATACTGAAGAACTGAAGACAAGGGAAGATGAAKATTTAAAGGAGTTGTATATAATTGTAAAATACATGTAGTATACATAAATGAGTGTATGTATGTGTGAAAGCGCGCTTATTTATTGACAGAGAAAAATTAAGTAAGGCAACCTTTTGAAGATTGGTTAAATACTGCTGTTTTAAAACACATTCAATAGAAATTTCCTTTCAAAATTATTAGCTTAGGACCAAACAAATTAAAATAGAAAATMGATTTGAATGGTTTCTTATAAGAACACATTTTCTTTATTATTGTAAGGCTACTCCTCAAGTACATAAGTCAAAAGTATATTCTATGCTACATGAAAGCTCCAAAGTATTTATAACCACTTTCAAGAGTAACAAGCTGACCTTCGTAGCAGCCTCATTTGAATCTTTTTAATTTCATTTTCTTGCATGTGTACTTATTTATGGCACCAACGCTGTCTATGTCATTTGTATTCGTTTAATATTGCAGCAGAAAAMTTTTCTCACATTGCGCTTTGGCAATTTAAATCGATGGCAGTAAGGAACGTGCCTGTTGTGCTTTCGGTCCCCAGTGTCCTTAGCGATTGCCTTCAGCTAGCTGAATAAAGCATGAATGGAACATGCACCACACCGAGAATCAAATAATCGAACACTCAGCCGCATTCCATATTCCACATACTGCAAATAGTAGGTTAATAAAAAATTTAATTTCAGTTTTATTGCAATTTATTGCAATGGTTTTACACACCGCTATAATAATGACCAATAAGAAACATGACTTTTGCGCCACCACGAGCGGCCAACAGCCGCGCAGGCAGTCAGYCCATAAACTCTAGGGGGAGAATATTGCGGTACCTTTTTGCTTTTTGCGGTCTGCTGAAAGTGTACGTGCCACTCGAAAGACGAAACACACATTTCACATATAATATATGTGCATACCAAAGTGGGTTCCAGGCACTTACATAAACAAGTTCTTTGGTAATTTTTCTGCTGCCATTTTTTTCRCCGTCCGTCCGACAATGATTAATGTTGCCACACAATAATGATTATGTTAATGATGATTTCTTAAAAACGTGCAACAGTTCRTGGCAGTGGCAGCAAAAGCGAAAAGTTTCCTCAATATATTTTAGTGCAATGAACGAGAAAAATCGATGCTTCGGYAATACATATAGACATAGATGAAATAAACTTAGAAGTCGGGTTTCTTTAGAATRATTTAGTTAATTCGTTTTTCTGTTATCGTTCCATTTAACGTAAAATTTTGCTTTACTAAGAATTTTATGATTTTACATAAACATACTAAAAATACCTTTCAAACAGCCGACATTTTTCATAAAGTTATAATAAACATGTAATGAAAGRCTAAAATCGATTACAACCAAACATTCCGTACTCTTTCAACCTGCCAGGCGCAAAGCCATGGAAATACCTCTAGGTGCATAGAGTTTGTAAGTTATACGAGGTTAAGGGCAAATTTTCACTCGGTTTTATACATTTTAGTCACAAAGATAAATCGTTATTAAAACAAGCAAGAATTTAACAAATTTTTTATATACAGAGATGCTGTTATTAGCAGTGAAATTTAGTTTAATTGTAAATATCCTACATTGACTGATATTTTAGGTCAAAAACCAAAAGTCAGTTTTTTTGTTTTGAATAATTTTTGGTCATAAGATGACATACATTAAAGCATTATTCGTACAAAATTGCATTCCGTTATAATATTTCTTTCATGATTTATTCACAGGAAAATGAAGGAATTAAATTTATTTTAAAATTKTGTTATATGAGAAGTAGGYGTGTTTGTAGTGSRAAAGCGCCTATTTTGGCACTGTTTGGAATCTGAGAAGAATGATACGTATTAGTTTAAGTCGGTCATATGGATCCCGAGRTATGTGACTTATTTTAAAATTGGGCGATGCCACGCCCCTCATCTTCTTTTTACCCCGGCTCCTATAAAGTCCTCTAATAAAAGCTAGTAATATTTAATTTATCTGATTTATAGCGCTTTTAGTAGTTTTTGACAGTGCCGTCATTTAGAGAGTGGGCGGGGATGAGCGGGTTTGACATAGTCTATTCAACCTTGTCTTTATAGGCATATACATACATATATATGTAGACTAACTCATGACGGCAAATTATAAAAAATGAAAACAGAGCCTTTTCTCCTTTGGTTCATTAAAGTATAATCCTTAATGACTTAAAATTAAATAAAATGAATTTTAAAGGAGATGCCAGTGTGATGAGGACGAATGGATCCAAAGCATTACAATATTATTTATCAGCTTGGATACCAAGATAGCAGGAGAATTAAAGGAAATRAATTACAGGAAATCATTGCTCAACAGCAGCAGCCATACCATGAGTACCTCTRGAAAAGCAAAATATACCCCCGCGGGTTCAGGTGACAGAACGTATGAGTAATAAATATATGCTCCGTTTAAGTATGGACACACAAATCAACAAACATATTAAAATATATTAACACATCACGGCAAATTATTTAGTTCTAATTTCCCTCCACTACGTCAGATTTTGATATATGCGGTATAAAGACAACCGGATATTTGAAATTGTTATATTAGATATGTATATGGGATCTAGGTTTGTTATTGAGTCGGAGATAGTTAAGATATCTCACAGATTTACAGATATATATATACATATGGATGGAAATTGGGTGCTATATTTACACGATTCTAATCAAATTTTTTATTTATAAGAAATAGGCGTGGATGCGTTAAACTACACCCGTTTTCGAGACTTAGTGTGCTATCTGAAGATAATGCTACGCACCAAATTTAAAAGAAATTACYTGGGTAATTCATATATACATATAKACATAATTTCACCCAAAATAYCAAAACAATACYTTGGGTATACTAGAGAAGCTCTGAACTGATTGCAACAACATTTGGAATTACTAATTTGTAGYTGAAAATATCTTGCCACGAAAGACAACTACTGCCCGACGTATTAAATCTGCTAGAATAACGATAATCATGTTACGTAGTATATGGGAGTTGGGGTAATTTATGGACACATTCATATATTTTCGGCAATATACTACAGTCTACAGTGTTATACGTTAACTTAATTTTCGTAAAGTATATTAGATATTGTACGATATATTCACCAGAACGACTACTGGAGGTTTGAAATTTTCACATTAGATATATGCGGTCTTCCGATATTATTAAAGGGATTTTATACTGCATTTGTTTCCACATTTTTTTTTTTTGTTGTGTAAACGGGAGAAAGATACTTTTCGAAAAATGACGATTTTGTTCAATCACCGCAATTTATAATTGAGATAAGTTGTTACCATCAACAATATCTCAAAAGAACAATAGGACCTCATTCACAAATTTTTAAYAGGAATAGGTTTTAAGAGCGACGCATATTAAACTTTTGGAGAGCATTCTGCTACTAATCATTTTCTGCTTCAAGTAGTAGCTATCCCTTCTGAGTAGAATCGGCGGCTTACTAAATGGCTGTTGTCCATTAAAAGTGATTCAAAGCTAAACAGTAAGATTTTAGTCAGCATTTTTGGAATTCAAGTGGAAGTGGTATACTGAAACAATTAATAGTCAAAAGAGGTACTAAATTTTGGATATAAAAATTAAGTACAATTGTAGGCTAGAACCATTACAGATCAAGTAGTAAATTATATATAAATTAATAATTTAAAGTATAATGATAAGCAAATTGATGAATTTTTGGAAAATTTTGAACCGTTCATTTTTAAATTTAAAAAGAAAATCGTTTCTTGGCATTTTCAAAATTTGAAATAATTTTAACATTAACTAAAATGAAATAGGTTYATTTTGCCAGCGATTACAACTATTTTCTTCAAGATGAGCTCTTATTATKTAATATACATATGCAGGTATAAACTTTACCGAAAATGTAAAGTGCGATTTGATGTTATCTGAGAAATGAAGTTTTCTACAAATATTAGAACGCATTCGACCGCGTGATGGCATTCATAAGAAGCCTTTTCATGTCTGAAATGCTCTCTGGCAGCTTAAAGCTCAATAGAGTAGACCACATTAAGGGAGTGGAGGAAATGCATCATTTAATAATACTTATTATATCTAAATATTTCTTTACGAAAAGTTGTACAAAAATGGAGCAAACATATACTAGCAAATGCGAAGACATCTGGTTGAAAGAAGCAAGAAATGAGAAGTCGACTAACAGCTTTGGTAAAGCGACAACCAATGCCACAAGCAGGCATTACGTGCACTCCACCCCCACAGTCAAAAACTTTTGCAATTACAATAATTTCTAGACGAAGAAATCTGATCACATATACATATGCATGAATGCATCCCTAAGTCTGTAAGTGCAGTTCGGCGTGCAGAATGGATTGAAGAAAAAAAAATGGAGGAGGAGCAAATGCACACAAATGAATTGCCTTAGCATTATTTCGCACTCACATGCTAGTATGCTTCTTAAGAAAGAGGTGCAGTTATGTAGTCATGTTAGATGTTTTACGAACAAAAACAAAACAAATTAGACGGTTTAGCGATTATCGTGAACGGCATCCGGAATAAAGCCCAGACACGTTTAACAATTTTTTTTTTTTCGTTAAGCTTTTTATCTAAAATGTATAGATTTTTTTTTCTAAATGACAAACCATCAATAGCTTAGTTTTATATGGCAAACTTCCTTATTCAATAACGCTACTTAATAGTGCGCACCAATAATTCTTTGAAAGTAAACTTTTTCTCACTCCCGTTGCTGCTCCCACCTACTTCAATGCCACAACAGTTGGTTGAGTTCTTTCCCATCGCTCGTATTTTTTGGTGGCCACGCGTTTTTCCACATCCGATTGAATAATGAAATTTTAGTGGAAAATTCAAAATACATTAATCTTTATTTCACTAACGCAAATTTAATTGCATGACTGACTCGCTTTCTTTTTGCAGACATTCACTTTGCTGCTCTGCCACTTCAAACTTTTTCTTAGCATGACTAACTTTTTCCTCCASCATTTTCAAACAAAGTTTGCGCACAACGAAGTAAACAAATTATTTTGATGCCAAGTCATGCTGTGTCAGCATTCTCTAGGTTTGAAATTACTGCAAGAGCGYGAAAATAGTCGATGAAATAAAAAAGTCCAACCGTTTTTATCTCATTAGCTCTTGTTTATATAAGGGGTTGCTGTAGTCCCTATAACTGTAGTTTAGCCATTTGTAGTGTGGGTGAAAATCTAAGCTAAGTCAAATTGAGAGGAAAACACATTATTTTCAAAATAAACACCAATTATATAGTATATCTACATATGTATATAGTATGTCAGATGTTTGGCCCATATCATCTTTATAAGAGAAACCTGAAAACTATAAACTTACTGTTTACCGCAAATTAAAGCTATTCAGTTATCTTAGTACCCGTAAGCTATAAAAAAAATTATGATTATATGTTATTTTTAATAAAATTTATTCCTTTTGTCCGCTAATATCAAGTTAAGAACGAACGAATKGGGCTCAATCTATATGCTCCCTCAATTAAATTGGTCGGATAACACCAGAAGGTGAGCTAAATCTAGTAATAAATAGCCGATGTATGTACTAAAATCTTCTCTAACCTTACCGAAGCTTACAATCCATTTCAGCTCTATAAAAGAACTTTTTCCATAGCCKGTCGATTAGGTTTATATCGAATCAGTTGGTACTATAAATTGCGAAAGCTACTTATAATTTGAATTTAGATAATCCTATTGTGATTTCTGATCTCCTGTAGCCTGGCCGTAAGCAATCTTCAACAATAAATTTGAAGCTAAATACCACTTTATGGTTAATGTGGATGAATGAATAATAACAACATGGTCAGAAACTTGTCCAAGTTTTTGGATACAAGTTTGTATATGACTATCCTTCATCTTATGAAGCATATAATATATGTATGCCTGATCTYAGTAATTTCTCAAAAATTAGGTAGTTGTTCCGGGCGCACTGAATATTGCGAAGATAAATCTCCTATTTCTGAAAGCAATCAAAGTTAAGAGGATAATTTTAAACATATTTCTATAGTGACTCCCTCATTATTTGTTCTTTCATTTAATCTRAAAGCATTTTATATAGAAGACACGAAAACATAACAGGCATTCTCTACCTTTCCRATAGCACTGACAACGAAAATGTACTCACGGGCAATGCCGTTTAGAAAGCAGGCTGAATCTTTGTTCTTTAAAAACTACAATAACAACATTGTTTTAACATTTTCTTTGCTTTGATTTGGTTATTTTAAGGTTCGCAATTCAACAGATACAAAAGTGACACTGCGGCGCGTCACACTGATGTCGACAGGAGTCTACAAATGCGAAGTTTCCGGTGAAGCACCAGCATTCAACACAGTTTCCGAATCCGAGACGATGACCGTTGTCAGTAAGTAGCTGCTTACCCCTCATTTTACATTGACTACTGAAACCGCGTCAGCAGAAATGCAAAAAGAAGTATCTTAAAAAATTCGAAGTTGAATATTTTTTTACGATTAACATTATTTTACATATGTATATACATGTGAGAGACTTTAAAGCCCCTTGTGTCAGATCGTAGTTAGAACCAAAATTCAAATTTTGTTTGAATAAGAATAGTTTTCATTTTAATTGGATTATATCTTCGCTTGAAAGTCTAAGAAAAGTGACCTTATGTTATTTTAAATTTTAGTTGAAGATATTTACTCTTCGTGTATTAAGTACTGCATACAAAAATGCAGCAGGAACGCGACGAAACAATGGCGGCCACAGCGAACCCGTCCAACTAAAAAAACATTCAACCAGAAATGTGACCAATTAAGAGTTAGTAGAATTTCCACTCGCTCAGCATTTTAAAGCTGTAGGGAGAAAATTGAGCGCATCCACTAATAAGGCAACTAAAGTCTATTTAAATGTTAATTAAGCGTCAAAATTATTTATAAAGACGCAGCGCAGAGGCAGAACTCAAATAAGCAACTGAGTAGAATGGCATGCAAACGAAGAGAATTTCTACATTTCATATTCGTAAATGAGAACCTCAAAAATGTTGAGAAACAATTTTTCAGTAATTTAAAGATGTGGTGAAACTATGTTACTTTTCTAACTTAACTTCTCGATTTGGTAATTTTATGGTCAAACTTCATAATTATTTTAACTTTGTTACTCGCAAATAAACTTCAAAAGAAAATCCGGAAAGTGTAAATAGATATAAAGATAAAGCCACTTAAATAAATTTATATCATTTTTACTTTTTACAAACGGGTTTAATGAAAATTCAGTAATGCAACTTAGCATATTACACAATTCAAAAAACAAAAAAAAAAWTTTTTTTGTTGCTCCGGATGTCTTAACAAATCTTAATGGTTTCAAGTGACCAGATTAAGAGTTTATTCATGAAAATATTGAATTGTTGATATTTGCGTTTCTTTTATATTGATCAGTTATCGGGTTATTAGTAACAGTTTGTCAAAAAAGTCTTGCGGTATTTCTTGCGGTATTTTTGTTGAATTTTTAATTGTTCATAAAATTTTTTTTTAATGACTCATGCCCAGCTTTTGACCGATGCTACGGCTGCTTTATGCCAGTCTTCTTCGAGCAATTCAGCTATTTTATCGCAACTTTGAAACCATTGTTGTGCGGCGGAAATGGAAACTGTATCGGGTCCTTAAACTGCACAAATTTTATTGGCGACCTGAGATGCCTTTTTGCCTTTATCGTAGTATTACTGTAAAATATGCCGTATTTTCTCTTTATTTTGCTCCATATTTGCGACGCTATAACTCACGAACGACAATCAATCAAACACGTGTTAGCGCGTGAAATAAGCTTTCCAAAAAGGTATAGCATGATCCGATGCGAGGAATAAAACTAGAACTACGCGCTCTCAGCGCCAACTAGCGAAAATACCGCAARACTTTTTTGACAACCTAACAATAAGATGTATTGTGCAGTCACGATTAGAGTTCTGCACTCCTTTTTCGCGAATACAAATATCACGTGATCCTTACGCACGACTCTACACCGAAGTCATGCRAAAAATTGTGCGAAAGGTTTAATAAAGCAGACTTAGAAATATCAAACCTAAAGTTTATTAAATGTCAAATTTTATTCAATGAATATGCCTTTTTGCATTTCAAAAGTATGTAGTTTGCATCAATAACAATGAAGCTTGGAAAAGGTCAAATTTTCCTAAGTAATCATAGAGCACCAAATTACCAAGAAACTGTCCAATTATTAAAATTATAATGAGTAACAAAGATAGCGGCTCCTTCTTCTTTACTGGCGTAGACACCGCTTACGCGATTACAGCCGAGTTAACAGCGCGCCAGTCGTTTCTTCTTTCGCAAGGTGGCGCCAATTGGAAGTGCTAAGCGAAGCGAGGTCCTTCTCCACCTGGTCTTTCCAACGGACTGAAGGTCTTCCTCTTCCTYTGCTTCMACCGGCGAGTATTRCGGCGAATACTTTCAGACCTGGAGTGTTTACGTCCATACGCAMGACGTGACCTAGCCAGGGTAGCCGTTATCTTTTAATTCGCTGGACTATGTCATTGTCGTCGTATATCTCATACAGCTCATCGTTCCATGGAATGTGACATTCGCCGTGGCCAATGTGCCAACGTGCAAGAGACCATTTATCCAGTTTGGAGAAAGAAGAACTAACCGCGCGTGTCCTCAGGACAATAATATCAATATCATCGGCATACGCCAGCAGCTATACACTCTTATAAAAGATTGTACCTGCTCGATTAAGTTCTACATCTCGAATTATTTTCTCCGAATGGGCCTTGTTTAAAACCTCGTTTGGTATCGAAYRGCTCGGGRARGTTCTTCCCGATCCTGACGGAGCTTTTGGTATTGCTCAACGTCAGCTTACACGGCCTTATTAGTTTTACGTTAGGATCWAGTCTTGTGTAGAAGGTCACACAAGTGAGGAAAGTTCCTGATTTTCATTCACTTGGGAGCGGCCAGAAACAATTATTTTCAATATGACTCAAGCCCTTCACGACTTCCGGACCTATTCCAAGTATCCTCTGAGTAGCCAGAAAACATCCGTTTAAAAAGAAGGCGAAACAGGGTTGTACGCTGGGTTTGGAACCCGTCAGTAAAAAAACTCTACCAGTGAAAAATTAAAAACAGGTGACGGCTCCACTGGGAACTCAATGTGACGGAAGGGAGGTATGCAGCTTGATGGGATCGTTCCGTTATGGCAGATTATTGTCGATCCTTAGAAAGAGATTACTAACAAGAAAAATATAGAGAAAAGCTAGTAAAAGGTGTTTAATTGGATATAGCACATGTTTTCGATATTTGTTTCTCTATTTACTTCTATGCATTAATATTTTCCATAAGCAAACCATTGCGGATATAAATATGTGGTATTTAATTTTATATTTTCTGAGTTTTGTAATGGACAATGAATGTAAATAATGTCTAAAAGAGGTCCTAAATCAAAAGCAACAAAACCACTGTAGTATTATTATTACATGTAGTAACTTTCGTGACCTGAGAGCCACTTAAAAGTATTTTTTATACTCGTGAATCGTAAATAATACGAAGTGATTAATGAGAGTCCTAAAGATCTTATTTCTGTTAGCAAAGAAAAAATATTCATTCATATTTTGCTTTCCTTTAAATGTACTGTTTGTAGATTATACTAACTATTATTATGTAAGACTCAAAGGATGGAGCTGTTAAGGCGATGTATAAACCTGTATATTTCTCAAATTACTACTAAAGGCTCTTATTCAACTATTTCTGACATCTATTAAGTGACSTAAACTATACAGATATACATACCATTCCTATTAAGATACGGTAGCATACTAAGTAACCWTGAAAGCCGGAATTGAAACTGCAGGAGTATATTAGAAGTTTCAAAGCTTTGGTTTTCATGTAAAACTGAACATTTTCTCAATTGCAGAATTAAGAGAATAAAACGCCTTTATTAAACAGCTTGACATTCCTAAAATGTATACTTCGTATAATTTTTGTGCAGATTACTTTAATGCTTCTTCTTTGTATGTTTACTCATTCTCATCTTTGGAATTTTTTCTATGTTATGCTGCGAGTATGTGCCTTCGTATGAACGCAGCCAAATTGCACTTATTTGACCTCATAAATTATCAGATATTAACAAATATACACATCTGTGTTTGCCCGCTATCCTACTTTAGCAAAAATATGAGTGCATATGTTTGTGCTCACCTATTCAGAGCACTTATAAGTGAAGTTGGTTTTGTTTATAAGTTTGCCAGTAGGGAAAGAGACAGTGGCCACCTGAACTCAATTCTTACCGAAATCGAATTCATAAGGTAAAGAGTAGGGTGCTTCAAACAAAAATTTTGAATTTTTTTTTCAACTCTTGCAACCAAATCAAATGTTAGTGACTGACAAAAAACAATCATCTCTGAAGTCAGGCGCTGCAGCTTAACTCTAAGGGGTCAGTTTTTAATTTTAGTTTTCTATACATTTAACATAGAGTTTTCGTTTTTTCAATCAAACTAAAACTTCACCAATTAAATTTCGTTTCTTAAAAATAAGCATCACATATTCAGAAAGTTGGCTTTTGAAACTTAAAAAAAAACTTTATTAGACGATTAAAAATTGTGATTTGAAGTTTTGAATTCTTTCAATGAAAAAAACATTTCTGAGAATAATAATAATCTATATAGTGATCGAAAAATAATAATGACTTTGTTTCTCAAAGGGGCTGTMATTTTTGCGCAAAAATTTCACTTCCAAATTTTTAAATTCACACTGAGGCGATATACATATATTTCGCCACCTTTAAAACATATCACAGTAGCGCATATTTTTTTGTATATCACAGAGTGGAAGCACTTTTACGCATCCCGCATATCTCCAGTATATTATGAATACAATTGCAAGTGTACGCCCCGGAGCGTCAATATTCGGTGTGCGTGGAGAGCGTTAAGCTTAAGTAAGGCAATRTTTAAAATACCACAGGATAATATAATATATCACATTTCCAACTATACTAGATATACATATGCATTCGTATAAATATTATACTTTTTCGACGGTGCTCGTGCTTGGATGCTTTAGAGTCGTTGCCTCAGTATTAGCAACAACTTCTCTGCTTTTCCCGAAATGAACGCTGCGCTTTAACCGCAAACTCAGCGTGRCGCAAGATAAGTTGACTCTTCTAAGCACCGTTTGAGGTGTCTCTTTATTTTTGTTTATCTTTTCCACTGATTCGCAAGGTATGATATTCACATTCTCCGCAGACAAACGCCGATGCGGTGACAAAATCCAACAACTGTACATATTGGCCATAAAGTTCAACGCTTTAATCTGTTTTCCCCTCTCACCCATAGCAAATTATGCAATTATATATTGTAGTATACATTTTTATACGCTCCTTAACTTCTATTCTATATGTGTAAGGATG